TATGGAGTTTATATTCCAGTGGAGGTGGTGGTGCAATAGACAATAAATAAGAAAAGTTAGTAAGAAATGTGCATATACCATGACGATATGTGCAAAGCAGAAGAATAGAGCGGGAAACAGGGACAGAGGTTACTGGTACGGAAGTGCATCTGTAATTGGGCGGTTAAGGTAGACCTGGATGAAAAGTGATGTTAGGACAACGACCTGCAAGGGGTGAGAGTGAGCCACGGGGACAGGACGGAGGGAGCACAGCCAGGAGGGCGGCATGTTTGAGGGACAATGGCCTGCAGGGGGCGAGAGTGAGCCGCGTGGACAGCAGAGGGCACAGCCAGCAGCGCGCGCGTGGTGCGTGGCATGTTCGAGGGATGGCGAGGGGGCCCCCGTGGCTGGGGCGGGGTGAGGCAAGGGGAGGCGATGGGAGACACGGCCAAGAACAAAGGGTGGAAGGAGGGCCAGGTGGGGTCCGCAGGTCCTTGCGAGGGCTTTGGCTTCTTTCTGAAGGAGTCAGAAAAGGCTTCATCAAAGACGCTGCTTTTGAGCTGCCTCTCAAAGGCTGGGTCCTGTTAATTCATTCGCGTGCACTCCCATCAAAGCAGGTGTTGCCAGACTGACCGTGCAATTTGGGAGATATCATGTGCACGTACCGGGCTGAGTTTTCAGACCTGAAGACGGACTGGAGCCAGCATCTGCTCCTGCCCCGCCCCTGTCCCACCCAGTCCCCGGACGCTCAAACACGCCGCCAGCCCGGGAGCCAGGCAAGGCCTATGTGGTCCCCTGAAGGGAGCCCTCGCCAGGACTGAGACTAGTCTGCCCACCAGCCAGGCAGGTAGGGGCTCGGAACAGAAACAGGAAAAGAAAGAAACGTGTCATTTCTTGCACTGTACCGTTACAGACATCCATTTATGCTTGCCAAAGAAACAAATGGAAATTACGTGGCAGGGTGACTCAAGGGCAAATGAGTGAGGGGAAAGCAAACACTCCCTGGGCTGCGAGCAGGAAGGGGTCATGTTGGGGATATTGGAGTTGGGGGAAAATTACATTGGGAAGAGGTAATTATAGAATATTTTGAGGATCAGGCAAGATTTGAGCTGGTCTCAAAGCACAGCTGAGATTTGGATCTCCCAACAGGAGGAGGGAGAGCACGACAAGTCTGTATCCCAGGGTGAGGGATGGTAGGGATTTCTGGACATGCTCAGGGCTCAGGAGGAGGACTGTCTAAGCCAGAATGGAGTGGCTGTGTGGAGAGACAGGAGGAAAAGAGGCAGCAAAGAGTGGAGCAGATTGTGGGGGTGCTGGAATGTCAGCTGGGGAAGCTTGGACTTTTGCTGAGGGCAATTCTCCGCTTCGGATGGCAGGGTTAGAGCAGACAGAACCACGTCTGTTCCCTTATGTGTGTGTGTGTGCATATGGAAGCCTTGTCCGATATAAAATGCAGGAGACTCAGTTAAATTTGGATTTCAGATAAACAGCAAATAAGTTTTCACTATAAGAATGTCCCATGAAGGCCAGGTATGGTGGCTCATGCCTGTAATCCTAGCACTCTGGGAGGCTGAGGTGGGCGGATGGTTTGAGCTCAGGAGTTCGAGACCAGCCTGAGCAAGAGCGAGACCCCATCTCTACCAAAAAAATAGAAAGAAATTAGCTGGATAACTAAAAAATATATAGAAAAAATTAGCTGGGCATGGTGGCGCATGCCGGTAGTCTCAGCTACTTGGGAGGCTGAGGCAGGAGGATCGCTTGAGCCCAGGAGTTTGAGGTTGCTGTGAGCTAGGCTGATGCCACAGCACTCTAGCCTGGGCAACAGAGTGACATTTTGTCTCAAAAAAAAAAAAAAATGCCCATGAAATATTTGGGACATAAATAGAGGACGCCCAGATAAATTTAAATTTCACATAAACAGTGTACACTCTTTTAGTATAACCATCTCAAACAATATTTAGCATGTAGTTATACTAAAAAAATTCATTGCTTATGTAAATTAAAATAAAATTCTAAGCCCCCCACTGACTGAACAGACCCCTTCTTGGCCAAAGGGCCCCAGAAAGATCTTAAAACTGAGTTCCCAGCCAGGAACAGCCTTGCTCAGAGACTGGCTGAGCTGCTCAGGAAGATTTTTAAAATATTGTGAACTAAAAATAAAATTCTAAGCCCCCCACTGACTGAACAGACCCCTTCTTGGCCAAAGGGCCCCAGAAAGATCTTAAAACTGAGTTCCCAGCCAGGAAAAGAAGGGAGGTCAGACACATCTCACTATACCCCCTCCCTTTTGGAGTTCAGATGCAATAGTTGACCAGCATCAATGTTAAAACAGAGATCATAAGACTGACAAAACCGACCCTTTGTGGCAATACGATACTAAATTATTTCTTTTTTTTTTAATTTTAAAAAGTGTCTATATTACTCTAAAGAAAATAAATTATTAACAAGACCTAAGGTCATGCAAGGCAAAGGTTAAATCATGCCTACAGGCCATTGATTTGCTTAACAGACCACTTTGAGTTAGTATGTTATGACTTGCTCTATGATTAACAGATTTCCTTATCTTAAAACATTCCTCTGTACTGATTCCAAGCCTTTAGACAAAGCTTTATTTCTTTAGCCAATTATAAGTCAAAGAATCTTTGAACCTACCTATAACCTGTAAGCCCCCCTACTTCGAGATGTCCCACCTTTTCAGGCCAAATCAATGTATACCTTCCATGATTTCTGATTTTGCCTGCAATTCCTGTCTCCCTAAAATGTATAAAACCAAACTATAACCTGACCACCTTGGGACCTCTTACTCAAAACTTCTTGGATTTATGAATCCCCGGGTCGGTGGTCACACATATTCAGCTCAGAATAAACCTCTTTAAATTATTTTGCAGAATTTGGGCTTTTTTTTTTTTCTGTTAACACTTATACAAAATTCAAATTTAACTGGACATCCTGTATTTTTATTTGCTAAATCTGGCAACCAGTATGTGGTACTGAATTAATATTGCCTAGCGAGGCTGCAGGATCCAGGGCAGTCTCCTCCTCTTTGTTACTCTGACTCCCTGGACACCTCTGAAACCAGGGAGCCCATTTCTTGGCCACCCTTGGGTGCCAGCTCAGCTGTCTCATGGCCCCAGTTTGTGAGTTAACTGTGAGAACTGCTGGGTCCCCAGCAGCTTTATTTTCCAAGTGTCCACCCCATCACCCCAAATGTGCTTCTCTGGAGCATGGACCAGGGATCCTGACTTTTCCTAGCAGAGCAGCAGCAGTGCCGAGAATCAATATGCTGCCCTGACGTGTGGAGAGGGCTGGAACACAGCCTGCTACCCTGTGCCCTGCAGTATTGATTATGCAAGCGGCTGTCCGTGAACCAAGCAGGCACGCTGAAGTAGGATGCTGTCTGGCAGCCTTCGTGTCATGGGGATGACGCTTCAGATTTCTCTTGAAGCCTGCCTGGCTCAAAGAGAAAACCAGCATGTTCTTTTCTTTCACTAATGCAATACCTTGAAGAGCTGCATTGCATTCTTCTTTTTCTTTTCTTTTCTTTCTTTTTTTTTTTTAATGTAAAGTTGTGGGAGTGGGAGGCAGAAACCACATTGGTCCTCTCTCTTTTGGGACTGCCTCTCTTAAATGTGGTCCATCATTCAGTTTTAAGAGAACCAAAAAGCAAAATGTAAAAACTAATAGAAGTCATTTTTTATTGAAAGCCTAAGAGTATGAGAGTGAGCATTTTGTATATCTTGTAGTGCTTTATCCTGATAATAATTCCATGAGTTAGATATTACTCTCCCCATTTTACAGATTCAGAAATGGAGGCTCAACCAGGCTAAGTAATTATCTCAGGAGCATGCATCCTGCTAGTCGGTCAGAGCTATGGTTCAAACCCAGGTCAGTTTGACTTTTAACGCTACTGTCTGCTCAGTGAGCCATGTACAATGCATGCACTGCTTGTTTGTCATCCTAGCTTGTCCTTTCAAATTCCTGAGTGATGAACGTCCTTTGAGAAACTGTCCCTGGTTGCCCTGAAAAACATCGATACCTCTCTCTGCTCTCAGATGGTTTTCTTTCCCCCAGTGTTGTAGAACCTCCCCACTGTGCTATAAAAGCACATTCACCTTTCTGTGTCCTCATTAGTCCACAACATCCTCAAAGGCAGAGTCAAAGTCTTTCTACCAAGTGTATTTCTCTCTAGCTGCAGGGTCTAGAATATCACTTAGCACCGCAGTAAATTCTCCATGAATATCTGCTCTTGGTTGCCATCGTTTCTAATTCTCTTTTCCTATTTGTTTAGGGAGCTTCAAGGATGCTGTCCTGTGGGCATGTTTCACGGTGATTGCTGGGTTCCAACATTCTTACCCATTTTTCACACTGAATTTTACATTTGCCCGTCCTTACTGAGGACCCATCTGAGTGGTCAGTACCAACATCGATAGAAAGTTCTTCCATGGTTGAATGATTGAACAAGTGTGGTTGCCATGAGGATTTCATTTGCAGAAATGCATGCTGGTTGTCTCCATTGCTCTTTCTGTGATTTGGTGGAAAATGAACCCAACAGGTGGCCTAATTACCTGCACCTGGGATCCCAAGGTCAATGTTTTTTGGGTCAAGGTGATAAGCTGATCCTTCCTTCTCAGAAAAGCGCCTTAGAAAAGTCAGCCTGTTTTTGAGATGAGCGCATGTTCCCACAAAACCCCTTCCAGAAAGTATACAGGCAGATTTTCCCACAATTCTGCTCCCAGGAGGGAATGTGTGATCCCACGTGTACCATGGCCCTTCAGGGATGAATAGGCCGGGAAGCCCATGGTTCGTGCTCCAGAACAGACATCGGCTGAGCACACTGGATGGATTTCGTGTCTACCCACCCGAAGCCCAAGTGCTAAGGAAGCCTCTAAATGGAGATCGTAGCACTTAAACATTTTCGATCTTTGTGTTCTTCGAACGTTGAGGCTCTTCAAGGGGCTTGATGACTGACAGTGATGGCCCTATCACATTAATTCTTCTCACAACAGCTGTTTTTCATACAGGTCTTATCTGGGGCAAAGATGACTATGACAGAAATCTGGGCTTGTTCTTGCTGACAGAGTTAAATTTGGTCTGTGTTTCCTTTGCACAAGAAGAAAGCCTGATCCGCACTGAACAACTGTCTTGAGGGCACATCCAGAGCTGAGTGTGTCTCTCTCATGTTCATCCTTTTATTGTTTTTGTGACTGTACATATTTCAGTGATGTCAGGAATTTTTTAAGACTCCACCTTGGGGGAAGCTCAAGAAGTGGTCTGCGTTAGCATTGGTAAGGCCTAGACATTTTTATGCATATAAGCCTGGCTGTTTATTGATCCCTTGGAATGAGAAACCAACTGGAATATCCTGGCTGTGAGAAATATAACCCTTGACCAGCCGAAGCCATTTGTCTGCCTTCCCTGTTGAAAGAAGCACATTTAAAATTCCTCACCTGGGAGGGACTTCTTAGAAAGAATATTTCATGCAAGCAAATACACTTCTTGGACTTGAATTGCAATTTGGATTAGAAAAAATGACCTCATTATGTTTGGGCATATATTTTGTTAGAAGCCATTTTGAAAACAAGAGCATGGATTATTCAAGGGGCTCTTGAATCGTTTATATATGATCTATAGCTTGGGGGAGATTTTGGATGTATTTTGCTCCATATCCCAAATGAGGGTTTTGCAGTCCGAACTGCTGATACGTTGATTTAATGCTGTGTGTTGCTAGGGAGGAGGCCCCAGCAAAGTTCAGAATGTTAAAATAAAGTGTTAAAATATGCTGGGAGGAAATGCAAAACAGTTCTCAAGTTCCATTTTGAGTGCTTTATTGATAGTTACTGGAAGGAAAAAAAAAAAAACTTCAAAAATTAAAGTCAGAGATTTATATTTTGGACACATTTTGAATTTTGGAGAATGTTACCTTTTCCTCCAGAGGTTTTGTTTTGCTTTTTAAACTAGCCAGGTTGTTGTGTGAAATACATTCTCTAAGGAAGGTTGTAGAAACTTCCAATCAAGGTTTTCAGTTTCTAGTGCTTCGTAGGCATCAACTGTGCCAAAAACTTTCTCTCTTTTTTACAACCTGCCACTTCCAGAGGCCTGCGCTTGGCAGGCAGCCGACTGAGGGGCATTGGAGGACCTCGCTGGAGAATGGACCTCAGCAACCCGTATTGAGGTCACCTGGGTTGCTGGTCCTGCTAGGGACTTGGTTCTGCGTCTGCTGCTGCCATTCACTTTGCCAAAGATGGATGAAGGGGCACGACTGCAGAAACCTTAGAAATTAAAAAAATACACACACACACACACACACACACATATGTTGTCGGGTGGATTTTGAGAAATTTCCATTCAGAGGATGACCAAGGGTGGCAAGACTATTTTGAATCCACAGTCTCACACGTAGTTTATGGGATGTAGGAAGTGATATTTGGCCTGATGTTTCTCTCTCAAATGTCATTGACATCAACAAGGCTATGTGCTAAAAACAGATTGCAGTGCCTTCCTGATTTCTACTGATGAAAGCTGTGCTTCTCAAATGCTAATGTGCCTATGAATCACCAGAGCATAGGAGGATCACGTTCATGTTAAATTGCAGATCTTGGTTCAGGGGGTTGGGGTGGGCCCAGAAATTCTTCTTTCCTAAGCTCCCAGGTCATGTTGGAGCTACAGGTGCAGGATCCAACTTCCCCCTCACTCTTGGGAAGAGAACACCCAGCCTCTCCTTGTGGTGTCTGCAGGGCTGAGCTGAGCACCTCCCGTGAGATCTGGCAGAACCCCAGCTACTCAAGTTTGCAACACAAGGGAAGGGACCAAGGGGCTGAAATTCCCTCCCTCGGGGAGAGATGGGGTTCTCTGAGATAGAACGAGGGAGGGAAACTGAAGGGAACTAGGGGACCTGGAGGAAGGAGCTATATGGGGAAACAGGCTATTAGCAGGCGAAAGGGAAGAAGACAGGGAGGGATGTCTCCGCGGAAGCCCCCGTACCACTTGCCACCCTCAAAGACTCAAGTCCGCAAGTCCATCCTTCCGTGATAGAATTCAGTGGCTAAATGAAATCTACTTAGGACTTCTATTTCTTCCTCATGGTAATGCTATTTCGAGCTAGACCTGAACTTTCAATAAATAACTTTCTCCTAGTTCCACCATCATCTTCTTGTTATCATCCATGTATCAACAGGGCACAGTGAAACACCGACAGAAAGCCCCCTTATTTTCCCTAACTCCTGTTTTTCAGTCCCATTCCTCCCTAACTGTGGACAATATCTAGGGCCAAAGATGTAGCTGTTCTGGTTACCTCCAGGTAATGTACGTTCTTATGATCAGATATTAAAACTCCCAAAACAATCCGATCTCAAAAGTGCAATCTCTCAACCGATTTAAAGCTTGTCCCCTCCCTCTAGCTCGGGCCAGACTTGGCTCCAGAAACCTTCAGGGAAGGACAACATGACCAATTCCGTGCCCTCCCCACCTGCTCTGGTGCTGAGGGCTCAGGCTGGGCTGGGGGTGGGCAGAGGAGCAGCTGGAGTCTGCCCTCCCTGTGACTCCGTCCTAACTCAGTGTCAGCTGGCTCCAGAGGGTAATTTCATCAGGAGCATTTACCCAGTAATGGCTACCGCACTGTTCTAGATGCTATGGGAAATGAAGGGCCTCAAAATAACTCTCATTGTGAATTGTTCAGAGTTTGCAGGGTGCTTTTCTCTTCTTTGTCTCATAAACTGTTCTCCCTCAAGGAAAGCTGTCTAGTTCCCAGCCGCAGAGTGGCCCTGGCCTGAGGCGTTTCCCTGGGGACCTGTCCAGACAGCCTTTCACTCGCCTCTGACATCTCTTTGTGCTGCAGTCACCTGTCTGAGAAGACTGCTCATGACAGGCTTGGCCACATTCCTTCGCTCAAGATATATAGACGACTGGAAGTGAAACTGTTAAAATTACTAAAAATTTCAAGACCTCTGGTAAGAATTTGCTGGATAATGTCTAATAAGTACATTCTAGGGTTCAGAATAAGACACCGTGGGGAAAAGGAAGAAAGAGAAGAGGGAAGCAGACTGCCCGGCGTCCCGACCGCAGAGGCTCTATGGGGTTCTGGTGCGGCTGCCCTGACTCTCAGAGGACAGACGCCAGAACGGATCCGGTGTGAAAGGTTGACCCCTAGGCGCGAGTATACGTGGGCCCTGAGTCCTGCACACAGAGTAAGAGTGAAACTTTAATGCTTTGCTGTCATTCACAAGAAGGCATCAAGGTTTAAAGATTCCTTGTTCCGGGTTGAATTTTGTCTCCCCTCCACCCCCCAAAAAGACATGAAGTTCTAAGCCCCACTGCCAGTGTGACCTTATTTGGAAACAGGGTCGGTTTGGATGTCATCAGTTAAGATGAGATCAGAGTGGAGTAGGTGGGCCCCTCATCCAGCACGACTGTTTCTTACAGGAAGAAGGCAGAGGCTAGACAGACGCGCGCTGGGGGAGCGCCATGGGATGGGGAGGGCAGAGCCAGGCACAGCCGAGCACTGCCCACAACACACAGAAAGTAGGAAGGGACAAAGAAGCCCTCGGCAGGAGAATGGCTCTCCCAACACCTTGATTTCAGACTTCTGGCCTCCAGAACTGTAAGAGAATAAATTTCTGTTGTCTTAAGCCACCCGGTTTGTGGTCGCTGCTGCCCAAGAGGGTTCGTTTGCCCACTGTGCAGAAAAGAGCCAACACACTAAGGCAGTAGGTGTGAGGCGGAGAAAGAGTTTAATAATTGTTTTGCAGCCGAACAGGGAGATGGGAGAAATTTGTCAAATTTGCCTCCCTGAGAGGCTAGGAATTTTAAGGGGAATTTGGCAGGTAGGGGGCTAAGGAATTAGCATTGCTGATTGGCTGGGTTGGGGGTAAAATCATAGGGAGGTAGAAACTGCATTCTTGTGCTGAGTCAGTTCCTCAGTGGGGGGCCGTAGGACTGACTGAGTCCAGCTCCACGGTGCAGATCACCCATCTGGTCTGCATCAGTGCGCCCCAAGGAATGCAGGGTCTGGAAAACATCTTAAAAAGCAGTCTTAGGTTCCACAATAGAGGTGTTATCTATGGAATCGATTAAGGGATAAATCTTGGGAGCAGACTCCTGAGCAGTAAGCAATTATAGGGAAGCAGGTTATGGGGCAGACGCTGGTTAATTCTTAAATATAGCTAGACCTTGCAAAGCTTAGGCCTCTAGCAAAGTTTTAACCCCTTGATTTCAGTTGATTTTATAGAGATGGTTTCAGTACTTTGTTATGGCAACTAACAAAGTACTGAAAGCGTAACTAGGAAACAAACCCACCCTCTTCTGGCCTTTACAGCAGGGTCGTAATTGCATTTGCTCATGAGCATATCTGATCTCGCTCAATAGACTGGGAGGCCGAAGCTTCCCTGGAGCTCACTGCCTAACACAGCACAGTGCATGCCTGTTCATTTTGGTTGAGTGAACAAATTTTAGGACTTTAGATCTTAATGGTGTATTAAATACAAGTAAAATATAAGAATTAACAAGGGAGAAATGCCTACCTAGATCGGCGTGTGTATTTTATTCATAACGACATTAGATAATCTTGTTTATGATTTGCATAAATGAGCTATTATGCCATAATTTGAAACTCAAATCAGTGGCTTCTCTGCAACATGAATGAAATGGAACAAAAGTCTTCATCTCTCCATATGTTAAAGATGATTGCTGTTAGCCCAGTGACGGGCCCTGGTCTTCAGCGCCTCATAACTCCTCAGCATCTTTTTTGGTTTCTCGCTGGAGCTGGAATGGCTGCTAAGGGACTCTTCCTGCCTGTGAGATTTACATTATTTGAGATTTAAAGCAAACATTATTTCAAAACTAGCACTAACTTCAGTAATTGACTGAAGTTAATGCCTCAAGGTGGACTCCCAGGTCATCAATTTAACCTACCTTGCTCTTAATTGCCAGGAAATAGCTGGCCTCTGGATCACTGCTGTACACCTGAGAGGCCACAACAGGAGGGGCCCAGTGCCTTGGAAAAGATTTGTGATGATAATCTAGTTGGATCTTTATTTCTTCTTGGATTCCTCTATGAATAGCAGCTTAGCAATACTCAGTGGAGAGGGCCCACGGCATGCATGTGTGTGCATGTGTGTTCATGAATGAACCGGCACCGGCAGAGGTGAGGAC